CATTCAGGGGGTTAGTAGCAGAGGCGGAGGTCTGGGTCGGCAAGTCGCTACCTAAACACCGGACCCCACAAAGGGAGGCCACGGCCAGAACCGCCCCAGGTGCGGTGCTCCGAGGGCTGCACCCCGGCTGCTCCCGCCCGCCAGCTCCACACTCACAGGGCAGAGGCGGTGCCGGGTGGCCCGGGAGAGGCAGCGGGCGAGGCGGTACAGAAGCTCCGCGCGTGAGGAAAGAATGACCCAAGGTGAGGCTGGGGAAAGGGTGAAGGGTGTGGAGGGCAGGGGCGCCCAGAAGTGGAGAAAGGGGCCTAGCTCTCACCCTTGTCGCACGCCAGCAAGAAAAGCTTCTCATTCAGGGTGTTCTCCTCCTTCACCTCCCGCACATCCTTCAGCGCCATCACCTCGTTCGGCGACGAAGAGGAGGATGGGGAGGAAGGTAGGGAGGAGGAGGAGGCGCCCGAGAGATCCGTGCTCGGGTACAGAGCCGCCATCATCGCGGCCCATGAAGGGGGCAGGCCAGGAGACGGGGGCGGGGCCCCCACCAGCCCCGACCCCGACCCCAGCCCCGCTGCAGGGCTGGAAAAGGGATGAGTCGTTCCCACGGCCGCCTCAGCGCGCGGCCCGTTGGCCCCAAAGGGCGTAGTCTCCCCTCGGAGCCAGCACTCGCCCTCCACTGACAGCCCCAGACTGGTGGCGGCGCATGCGCGGCCCCGGGGCCAGCGCCCCCTCCCCAGTCGCCGGCGCCCGGGCCGAGCCGGTCCGCGCGCCTCCGGGGACGACAGAGTGGCGCGCGCCAGGGCGGCAGCTGAGCGCGGGGCCGTGCCAGGAGGCGCAGGGGCCGCGCTGGGGGCGGCCCGGCCCGGGAGGAGGATTAAAGATCTGTGGGAAAGGAGCTCCGAGAGCGATTCTGCGCACGTCGGGCTCCCGGGCTGTGGGAACCGCCAACCCAGCTGCGCCCGACGATGTTCGCGACTCTCCTCACGTCATCTTCCGCTCTGCTATAGCAACGACAACGGGGCGGGCTCGGGGGCCGTGGCCGTTGCGGGGGGCGGGGTCTACGTGCGCCACGCCCCCGGTCCTCGCCGGTCCTCGCCAGTCCGCTGCAGCTTCCAAAGGTTTCCAGTTGGTGAGGGCTAAGTGAACAGCCCAGTGCGACCTTTCCCCACCCGGGTTGTTGAGGTAATTTCCCTGCGGTCCCCTGCTGCATGTAAACATGCAGCGGTATGGTTACTGAACCTTTGACGACTTAATGTTTTAGTCGAACCCCCCTTGTGGAGTTGTCTAATTATTTCGTGTTGGTCACGCCGCTAGACTTGTGCTTGTGTGTGTGTGTGTGTGTGTGTGTGTGTGTGTTTGAACTAGCTATACTCATTTCTAGACTATTTTTTCAACAACTTGTTTGTGATATAAAATTGGCATAACATTCTTGATGTCATACATTTATTGGCATGTAGTTCAAGTGTACCAACATGTAGCCATTGGATAAGCATTTTTAGCATCTACAGTCATTCCAGTGGTTTCTTCACATTTATAAATTTGATTTTAAAAAATGTGTGTGAGGCAAAAGCTAAGTGAAGCACAGTAAGTACTACTTTCTTGAATAATTTTTTTTAAAGATTTTATTTATTTATTTGAGAGAGAGAATGAGATAGAGCATGAGAGAGGGGAGGGACAGGGGGAGAAGCAGACTCCCTGCTGAGCAGGGAGCCCGATGCGGGACTCGATCCTGCGACTCCAGGATCATGACCTGAGCTGAAGGCAGTCGCTTAACCAACTGAGCCACCCAGGCGCCCTCGAATAATTTTTTTTTAAAGCAAGCTTTTATTTAAGGCAGATTCTTGCACCTTTAAAAGCTAGGGGGTAAAACTACAACTCATGTCTTTAATAATTCTTATTGCTTCCCACAACTATACAAAAATCAAATTTGTGCCCTCACTGCTTTAGGTTTTTAAAGGCAATAAATTTACATCAGAATATCTTGTATTTGAGGGAAATACTTCCTATTCAGGTTGATTTATTCCATCTCTATTCTTGCCATCACTAACTCCCAAATTTCCCAAATATATCTTTCTCACAATTCAAAGTACTCTTTATATCTTCTCTTATAGGAGTCCTTAGGTAGATGACAAGATTGCCCACCTTTCCATTGTCATGTGTTTACTTCAAAATAGTCAATTATCTATTGAATCCTTTTAGCTTTTTCTTATCTCTAATGTATCATAAATCTTCCCCATTCTATATTGTTTCCAAGTTTGCATATTTGGTGGAATGTCAAAATTGTTCATTGCTAATTTGTAGCCATTGAACACAGAGGTACATATGTGGGTTTATATGTGTGCTTACTTACACACTCTTCATAGTCTAGTAAAATTTTAACTCTAATGCTGACCCATCCAAAAGTTCCAGAGTATTGAAAGGTAAAAATTCAGGTAGCTCCAAGTATAAAAACCACTTTACTCTGAAGTCTTTTCAAGCTTCTGGGCTTGTGATTTCTCATCCATAAGGACACCCCCAGGGCTGGATTAATTTCTTAGATTCAGGGGAATTCCAACCTACTTTATTTAGATTATCCTAGGAGGCAAAGTTATTAGAGGTCTATCCTTTTTCATAATAAGCCAGTGTTGCAACTGCATTCTGTTTTTTAGAAGTTTTTTTGAATCATCTCAGATGCAGCATATTCTCTCTTGCCTCTGGTACATATTTTATCCAGCATAAATTGGGGTATTTTAGCATCCCCTATATAATGGGTTTATTGTACATCTGTGATAGTAAGACTAAGGAGAGAATTATGATGAACAATGGCATGCAAGATTCAGAAGCAGCACATTACTCAAAACAACTCACCAACCTGTAGGTACAAAGAGAAGAGCCATCAACTTCAATTGGAGAAGAGAAAAATCCAGATTCAGGTCTAGTCTTAAAAATAGAACAGATTCCCCCCCAAAAAAGTAGAACAGGGGCACCTGGCTGGCTTAGTCAACAGAGCATGTAACTCTTGTCCCACATTGGGTATAGAGCCTACTTAAAAAAGAAAAAAAGTAGAACAAATCCTCTCTCCAAACTATGCCTCTCCCTCATTACTTAGGCCACATTTGCCTGTTTCTTTTACTGAAATGTCTGTAAGACTTTTGGTCTTACAAACCAAAGGCCTCAGAGCCTTTGTACTTGTTCCCTCTGCTGCACATTTATCACCTATCTCATCATTCTTATTTCAGTCTAAATGGTCTTAGAGAGACCATTCCTGAGCACCCAAACTAAAATCTTCACCCCAGTTCCCAAGTCAGTCTCTATTACATTACCATTTTATTTCCCCTATTACATTTTATCACTATCTAAAATTCCTATTTATTATCTCTCTCTACTAGGATAAAAGATTCATGAAGTTAGAGAACTCTGTCTATATTTTTTTCAATGAATCCCCATGTTTCTAGCATCATACCTGAATCATAACAAATTTATGTTAATCAACTGATTCCCTCAAATTATTTCAGCACAAACTAAATCATAGTAATAATGCAGTTGGTCTTTACTAAAATTCTTCATATTAAAGAACCACAGAACCACCTTCATTCCCCAAAAAATAATCTAATAAATTTCTTTTGTTTTACTAATTAAAACAAAATTATTTTTTCTGGAAAATAAACTTAGATTAATTTTCAAGGCTGTATATTCTTTAAATGAAATGACCACTGACACATTTGTACATAGAGTTTTTATTAAATATATTTTGTGAGAAAAAGAACACCCTAAAGTGCCAAATTTCATGTAAATCAGATAACTTAGTAAATATAATGGTGAAAAAAATTAAAAGGGGAAACATTGATTAATCTCTTAGAGCAAGAACATATCTTAATCTTTGTATAAGAAAACAATCATCAAAATATAAAAGGAAAGGAAATCACTTTTGTAGAAGAATATATTTCAAAGTTCCACCTATTGATGATTTCATTTAAAAAATTTGAAACACATGAGTGATCTCACTCTTACCAATCTGTTTTAATCAATGGTAGAAGAGGGGTTTAAACTACTCATTCACATGGAGATAAAGTGACAGCATTTTTGTTGCATAGCAGTATTGCTCACTCTCACAGTGGATGATGGCGGAAACAGATTTCTCAATTCATTTTTTAGCAGCAGAATCTATCTACTGATAGAAATTCACACAAAAATAGGTCTGAGGGTTAGCTATTCCCAAGTAACACAAGCATTAACCAAACACTGCCAATTTGTAGGAGGCTGTGGAAAAAACATGTGAAAATATTCTATGTTGAATATTAGCTTTGTGTTATTTTCTGCTAAAGATATTCAGTGGGCAATTTCTAAATTAGGGCTTCAGTATAGGTCAAAATTAACGTGTTTTGAGATGCTGTAGTCAATGTTTTGCTATAAATATGTGGAAGTCAGCTGAAAAATAGCTATAGGCACATCCAAAATGAATATTTTCTAAAAGAAATCTTCATGTACCAAATATCTACAAACTGAAAAGTTATTATACACGTAGTGGGACCACAATAAACACTTAATGGTTGCCTGACTGACCAGTTATACACACCATTTAAGAAGACCTGGGTAATTCCGATGCAAAAAATATATATATATATACACACACACATATTTCTCTAATAACAGCCTACCAACATATATGCTGCATAGTTAAAGCTGTATTAGAAACTAGCATACATAAAGTATCAGTACAGTTAAAATTAAGTTTTAAGTAAAAAGTTCCTGCTACTTATACAAGAGAATGTATTTTATTGTTTATTCAAGAGTTAATTCTCATATATAAAAAAGTTTAATGTTAATGAACAATACTTGTCACTTAAAAATTTGAGACAATATAGAAATTTACAGAAAAGTTGAAGCTCACATAGTTGGAGGAAAAAATAAAAGAACCTGGATAATGACTTTGAATACATTTGTGATCAAAATTAACACATACACACACACACACAAATCAAAGCACAGCAGGACATGCAAAAAAATTTTTACACTGATCTGTTTCGAACCATGAAAAAGAATGAATTAGTTTTGTTTTAATAAGACTTTCAGAAAATGAAAATAATTTAATTATGAAATATCAGCTTGATAATGAGCATATTATTATCAGTATTGACTGGTAAATTAATTGTGTTATCCAAAAATGTTGACAGAGTCTAACTAGTATGAACAAGATATTGAATTCATTAATGAATTATACAACTAGTCTAAGCATACAAATAATCTCTGGTTTTATACCCACTACATTTCAGAATTCTGTAAACTGTGAGACATTCAATGTGTTTAATGTGGCAGAAAATCATATTAAATGTTTCATTATTTTATTCTGTTCAGTCCTTTTCCCATTAAGCATGCAAACACGGTCATAACCATCTTTGGTTTCACTTCTACAAGGTCATCAGGTAAGGCATATATCCGGGCACCGATCTTTCGAGCAACTGAAATGGCATATCTTGAAAAGACAAGAAAAATATCTTATTAGTTGTTATCTACTGTGTTTTCACTTAATAAATGTTAAGAATGAAATATTTTGATTAGATTAGCTTTACAAGAAAGTTAAGTTTGTAAGTCTTTAAATCATAGTCTCCATATAAGTTGTACTTAAAAATGTTAAAGACATATTAACCTTACCTGTAAGGACTTATGAAATTAAAGAGCTACTGTGTTCTAATTTAAACCATCAAAAGCTTACTTAGCATTGTTCAGCTTGTCCTCCTCAGATAAGTTGTCTCTCTTGATCATTTCTTGACGAACTGCATTTGGTGCAATGGCATCTATTAAGTCTAGGACAGGTAAACTAGTGCTAATAGATTTGTCCTAGAAAATAAAGAATGGATGAACATTCATAAACATCTTACTTTTAATTTTCATAAATGGCAATTTGGGTCATCACCATATAACTGAAAGCAACTTATAAATTTTTTTTGTACTGAACATTCAGCTTTTCTGCAACCAGCACACATCACAAACCATTTACAATAAGCTTTTCCTTCAATCTTTACAGAGCTTACAGTGTGGAGTTGTCACCATACCCAAATAGGGTTTGCAGATGTGACAATTCCTAAAGTATGCTAACTACAGTATCCATTCTGTAAAAAATAACTTTTGAAAGGGAATAGGAGATGAATTTTCAATTAATAGTTTTGTAAATTCTAGTAATATTTCTTAAACCATCAATTCCTAAGCCTTCACTTAAAATTTTTCAGAAAGAAAAATGAAAATATTAGTAGAAAGGACCTAACATTTACAAAGGCATTATTCTTGTTGCTTTACATGTCCAGCTTGTTTAATTCTCCTTACAACCTGGTAATAAAGAAATTATGATCTCTCTTTCAAAGAGGAAGAACATGGGGGCGCCTGGGTGGCTCAGTTGGTTAAGCGACTGCCTTCGGCTCACATGATCCTGGAGTCCCGGGATCGAGTCCCACATCGGGCTCCCTGCTCAGCAGGGAGTCTGCTTCTCCCTCTGACCCTCCTCCCTCTCACGCTCTCTGTCTCTCATTCTCTCTCTCGCAAATAAATAAAATCTTAAAAAAAAAAAAAAAAAAAAAAAGGAAGAACATGAAGTTCATAGAGCTCAAGTGACATGTTCACACAACCAGTAAGTACAAAACCAGTAACTGGACCCATAACTGTCTGATTATAATGCCCAAGATTCTCTCCATATTTGAAGTCACCTCCAAGCTGAACTAAAAATGAACCACCAAATTCTAGTGGATAGTGCATTGCAGTTAAAGCCAGAAATCCTGGTCTGAATTGTTTTACCACTTACCACTACTTGAAAAAAAAAAAAAAATCACTTGTTCTGTCTCTCAGCTTGGATAGTGGCCACTGCTGCTTGCCTACCCAGAATCTACTCTTTCCTTACTACTTTCTCCATCCTAACAGAACCCACATTTTTGCTCTGTGTCCATACCTCCCTCACATGGACATGTGCTTCAAGGAAAGCTGAACCCGTCCACAGCTCCAGGGGTGATCGTGAACTAGTCTAGGCCATGAATTCTGGGCATAGGGCCATAAACTTATTCTTTTTTTATGTATAAAGCATAGAGTATATAAACATACAGTAATATCCATGGCATTAAAATTTCAGAGGGGGGGGCATTTAGGAAGAAAACGTCTGAAATGACTCCTTCGATGAACAAAAATTAACTAGTCTGAACCAAACAAGAATAACCCCATCTGATTACCACAGTGATTTAATTTGGGCCTAATTTAATTTAATGTGAGGCCCTTGCTATTCTCTGGAAGAGCCATGAAAAACCAGCAACCCTCCTCCTGTATGTGAATGAGAGGATGAAACCTTTATCCCAACTAGCAGCTATCCTATAACCAAGAGGAAATCCAGTTATAGGGTGAAGTTGGCACTGTAGATGGCAAAGCAGAGATGGATAAAAACCTCAGTCCTGAATGACATTGTTTAATTACTGTTCAACCAACCCTGAAATCTACCCTACCTCTGAATTTCTGCTATTGTGTACCTTTCCTTTTGGTTTAAACCACTTTAAATTGGGTTTCTGTTACCTGAAGCCAAAAGCAAGCACCCTTTCCTAATCGCTACTATGAGAATGTCACAGGACTCGTGGGAATATTAATATAAGTGAAAGCATCTACTACAGTTCCTAGCCAAATTAATAAATTTTTGAAAAACAATTTGAAGCCATGTGAAGAAAAGTAACAGTCTACTTTTTTGGGCCATGATCTGTAAACAACTACATTTATTAATTTTAGAAAAATGTATATTCTTTACTTTCAGGAATGTTCATTTTATGAAACAGATTTTTGGGGAGAAGTAGAAGTAGAGGAGTAAAAATAACTAGGGTCTTTAAGTCTTTTTGACGCTGGTAATCTGGATCTGGGTGGGGGTATCTTTGGCATCTTCCTTATTTCTGAAAAATTCTTGTATTTGTTTTCTCAATGTGTAGTCTGCAGACCACCTACATGAAAACCACCTGACATGCTTGTTAAAAGCATAAATTTATCCCTATAAATGAATGAGTCAGGTTATCTGTGGATAGGGCTAGGAATCTGCATTTTTAAAAAGCTTCCTAAATGACTCTAATGTACACCGTTATTCTGTCTAAAAAAAAAACTTAACATTCATGCCATTCTATAACAAATTTAAAATTTCTGTGTGCTTTTCACTTTTCTATGATGATTCAAAAACATACAAGTGGCTTAATTGTGCTATATTTTGATTACTTATTTACATATTTGTGAGGGTTTTTTTAAGATTGAGGAAAATTATTTTGTTCATTTGTTTTTTTCAGCTTTATTGAATTATAATTACACATTAAATTGTAAGACATTTAAAGTGTACATCTTGAATATTTGATATATTTATATGTTGTGAAAGGATTACTCTTCTCATCTAATTAACACATCCATCACCTACCTACCTACATACATTATATATATATATATAAACATTTAAGTTCTATTCTAGCAAATTTTAATTATATAGTGTTAACTGTAGTCACCATGTTATATATAAGGTCCTCAGTTCTTATAGCTGAAAGTTTATGCCCTTTTGTGGTATTTTAAATATTTCTTCACTTAGATGTAGGAAAGAATGATGTTTTCACCTATTTCCTTATGATTTACCTTGGGAAAAACTTTTACTGAGTTGAATAAAAGATTTAAGTTTCAAGGCCTATATTGGATCCCTTATCTTCCTATTTCCAAGAAAACAGGCCTATCTTCCAACTCCTGATTTGTATATTATCAGTAAAAGACATTTTTCTTTTGGAAAGGGGGTAGGACTTACAGTAAAACCATCAGTTTAGTATGTAAGTACATTTTCATCATTTTTCCTTTCACTTTCCTCAAGTTAATTATAAAGAAATTACTTAAAAAGAATGTCTGGACTCTCAGAGACAATTAGCCTAGTGTTTGGCTTGATTTTCAAGGTAATGAATTATACCATCCCTTTCTTTTAATTTGATACACATTACTATTAGAACATTCCATGCCATTGTTCTTTCTGTCATTATTGAAAATAGAAGTGGGAACGCAGTGATGTGGCAGCCAGAGTTCTCTAAAAAGCTCAACAGGAACCTCTCCCATATGATGCCCTTTATATATTGCCATACCAGTAGTGTAGTAAGCCCCTTGTACCGAGCCCTTAAGACGTACCAGGTACTATTGACCTCTTTACATTTGTTAACTTAGTTTGATAACAAACTCAGATGATAGGTATTATTAATATCTCCATCTTAAATATGGGGAAACTGAGGCATAGAGAAATAACTTGCCCAAGGTCACACAGATACTGAATGTATGAGCCAGAAGTAAATTCAATTTTATTTATCAAGAGGTGTAGTCCAGTTGTTAGTATAAACTGCTAAGGTTTCTATAAAACACACCCTTTTCATGTGCCTCCTACTCCCCTTAGCTGATTTTTATAGTATGCTGACACCCCACATACTGATTCCTGTCTTCTCATTTGCTTCCTTTCCTGAACAGTGAGCATTCTGAGGGCATTATGTAGCCCCAGTGACACAAAGCATCTGATATAGAGAAAGCTTTGAATATTTATGAGATGAATGAGCAGTATGTCACACAACTAATAAGTGTCTGAGCTGAAGTCAAATCCAGGGTCACACAACTACAGTTTGGCTTTCAACCTGCAGTTAGACCTGCATGTGAAATCCAGCTATTCTGCTTAATAGTTAAATGTGTAACAGTGGACAAGTTGTTTAACTTTTCTAATGCTCTCCTTTTTGCTTATAGAGTTATTGAGAGAATTAAAAGAAACTGTGTAAAGTGCTTATCATGGTGGCACATAGAACTCAATAAAGGGTAATTACGATTATTGTTATGGCTGATATACCACTTCCTTATCTTCTTTTAATCAGTGTTGTTAACACAGAGTGTTCTATTAGTTTCAGGTGTACAATATAGTGATTCAACAATTCCATTTATTACTCAGTGCTCATACACTTCCTTGATGAGGGAAAATTACTTTGCAACTAAAAAGGGTAAACTTGTCTTTCCTAAAATTTCTCAGTATAGCACTACCTTGATTATAATTAATAGATTCTTACTAGTACCATTTATTATAGCCTTCAAAAATAATGCCTTCTACAGTTGGAAAAAAAAGCCTCCCCACCCCAACTATTTTTTAGCATTTGCTGCCACATTTCTTAAGTATAGTCTCTTTAAAGATTTTATTACTGAGCATCTGCTAAATAAATGCCAAGCACTTTTGCATTATGTTTCTGCTACCTCTGTTCTAAGTAAAACTCTCAAGTCTGCTTTTCTCTGTGAGCTCCCTCCCTTAAAGGGTTTGTGTACTCCTATTTTCCACTATCTCTTCTATTCAACTGATCAAGTCTATATTCCCAGTTTTAATATTTCCTTTCATCCAGTTCATTTCCTGAACATTACCTCAAATCCAACAAGCTTAAAACTGAATTCATCACCTTTTCCAGAAAGCAACTATACCTCCTGACATTCCCATTTGTTAGTGTTATCTGTTTTCCAATTACCCAGGCCTAAAACATCAAGTTTTAATTCCTCTTTCTCCTCTTGTGCTTCCCTAAATCAAGAAGCCAAATCCTACCTGTTCTTTTGCAGTAGCAAATAACTATCCATTCTTAACATTCCCAGTGCCCACCCCCAACTCCATTCAGATCCTTATCATTTCACACCTTGAGTTCTGCCTCAGCTTCTTAGGCACTGTCCTTGAATTTACACCTTTCTTCCTCCAATCCATCCTGCTCACCACATTCAGAAGAGTATTCCTAGGGGCACCTGGGTGGCTCAGTTGGTTAAGCATCTGACTCTTGATTTTGGCACAAGTTATGATCTTGGTGGGGAGTCTGCTTCTCTCCCTCTCTTTCCGCCCACCCCCCCACACACGCGTGCCCACACTTGTATGCTCTCTCTCTCTAAAATAAATCTTAAAGAAAAAAAGAAAAGTATTCCTAAAATAGTTACTTATTTTTACATTACTTCCAATATCGATAAACTTTTATTAAGGCCAGATTCCTCCACAATCTTGACCCCAGACTATATCTAGCACTACACCCTTAGGAACTATCCTCTCTAGCCAAACTATGTTCTCCTAACCTTCTCAGACTTGCCTTTATTCAAGATGGACCCTCTTGTAGCTTGTTATGAAAATTCCAGTTGTGAAAACTTTGTCTTTCAAATAAATGGTGAACACTGAGGGCCAAATTAATTTCTTATATTCTATATCTTTACCTATAAATGTTACTTAACAGTAAGAGCTCAATAACTATGTGTTTCTAAATATTTTCTCATTGTATTTGATTTAAATATATACATGCTTATTATTTTCCATCAACTAATGTACAAATGCATAAAATTTCATTACAACAGTTTTAATGAGTAACTATCAGTTAGAGAATTTCATATGTCCCCTTTCCTGTTTTACGTTTTTAAATTGTGTTTTATGTCTAAAATATATAAAAACAAATCATGGACTGAAAATTGTTTCTTTCTTTCTTTTTTTTTTTAATAAGCAACAGCAAAAACTCAAAATCATTAGTTCCTTCCAAGATGGCAAAAAGAGAAACACACTTGAACTAGGACTCAGGCAACATCTCTTCTGTATTCCAACTGTCCTGTTAAAACCACTTTGGGGCTCAGTATTTAGTAAAGATTTAATTTATCAATTTCTGACATTTCTCCTTCTCTAAAATGTTGTCAAACATATAGAACAAAGGAAAAGAAAAGACTAAAGATGGATAGATAACTCTTAGGAGAGCTTAGGGTTTCATCTGTTTGCACTCTTATTCACTAAAAACAAAACCACCAAATTGCGGATTTTTCACATATAATAAAATCACAAACACAAGGCTCACTGAATTCATGTGTACAAGCAGACATGCTTATTTGTAGTTAACATCACCTTGCATGCAAAAGCGAAACACAATGGAAATGAATGAAAATTAGTGGGTATGCATGTGCAGATTACATTTTTGAGTGCTTTATGAATCAGCCACAAATGCTCGGAAGTGAGTGTTAGGTGCCATTATGAAGCCAGATGACAAGATTTTTTTTTCCTACCAGTTTTCTCAATTCCCACTTGAATCGGTTTGGCTGGCTCTGTTATGCCTTGGAAATGATGTCAATACAGTTCTGAGACTGATGCTAGGGAGCACAAAACATTATAGGTCCTATATATACAATGGCTTTTTTTTTATCTTTCTTTTTCATTTGACAATCGGGTTTTTTGGCTCTATTCTATTTCTTTTTTAAGATTAGATGACCAAAGTCTGATAATATTAACCTGCATTTACACTCAGTAGGACAATCAATCAAAACTATAAGAATTCAAACATTTATTTTTGCTTTACAGATGCCAAATAACTAGTAAGCCTAAGTTCATAAATTATGTTTCTGATATATAATGTGATTGTAACTCTGAACCTAAACCAATGTAATTTCCAATAAAAATTCCTTCCTAAACCTAATTTCTTATGAAAACAAAATTTTGAATAGCTTTTGATTACCTTGAAGTTGGATATAGAAGTATTTTTTTTTGCACTTTTAAGAGTCTGATTGACCCATTTAATAATAATTTCATCATTTACTTTTTCACCCTCTCCAAGATCTGATAACACATTCAATGTGTACCTGTAACAGAAAAGATGTATATTTGAGAGTGAAAGGGGAGAGAGAAGGGGTGAAATTTGCTTTCACATCATTTATATCAATATTTAGATAAGTATTTAAATATTTTGGCTCTAATAAATATTTCTAATGTTAGGTATTTGAACTTAGTCACATTCCAAAGTTGCAAAGCTCAGTAATCAAAAACAAAAACTACTATATGGTATTTTATAAAAACAACTCCTTACAAAGCAGTTTTTAAGAGGCATTAATAAAAGTGATTATTTCCAGAGACTGACCCACTTTTAAACAAAATATATTATCAATGGTAAATCATTTAAAAATACATTTTACATTGTATATTTCTTCTGTTTGTTATTCTCAAAAAGAGCTAAAATTTTAGCTTATACGACTTGCTGAAGGAAGCAGTATTGCTATAAACATATCAGCCTTTACCTTCTCATCAGCTGCCATACCAATGCCAGAGTAAGTGTTGGATTCCCTTCATTTAGGTCCTGCCCAGCAATGCCAACCAAGGAGAATTTAGCCTGATTCTTCCCAAGTTCCACTGCATAGTTACAGTTTTCAATCTATGAATAATAAGTAAAAGTTTTGGTATAAAAACATGTTTTTAAAAATATATCTCTTGAGTACACCAGCTTTGTTCAGTCATTTGAAAAACAATTGAGGATACTTCAATTTAGATGACAGAATATCATTTCATAATTAACACTGAAATTAAGGAAATAATAATTATTCCCATTTTATAGCTGAAGATATCAAAGCACTGAAGGGTTAACCTTGATAGAGAAACAACTGGCTAGAAAGTTTTAAGATCTTACCCTAAAAGTCTTGACTGTCCAAGATTACATAGTTTATTAGTGGCAAATCTGTGACTAAAAACCTAGGTTTCCTGCATTCCATTAATAGAGTTAAAAAATACTCTTTTGTCTAAATTTAAAACTAAGGAATAAAGAAGTTGTTTCATTAAGAATCTAAAACCTCGGGCGCCTGGGTGGCTCAGTTGGTTAAGCAACTGCCTTCGGCTCAGGTCATGATCCTGGAGTCCCGGGATCGAGTCCCGCGTCGGGCTCCCTGCTC